AACAAGCAGGGCCTCAGGGAAGGGGCGGGGCTAGGGTGTTCGGTTTGGTACGATTAGAAAGTTGGCCACCCTGTCCAGACCCAAGATAAATACATGAATAAATAAAGGCATGTGCCAACTTCCAACCCTCTCCAGGAATTTCTCATCAGCTTTTGATAGACTCCCTTGTCACAGTGTTTTCAGAACTTGGGGCCAAATATTCACCTCACTCACACAAATAACTCCAGTGACAACCGACTCTACTTGTGCAAGACCAGCAGGATTTGCCCCTTCATTTTTCATTTTGAAAGAGAAATTTCATAATCATAACGGAAATAAAGAAAAAAAAAATCAAAGAGTTTATTCTTAAAAATTCCCTCAACTTCCTTGAAGACGGTTAATAGCATTAACATTTAAAAGGTGTTTCTGGTTTAGAATGTCTTTTGCTCACATTCGTGCCACAGATGCATGCCATGTGCAAATGTGCGTACACACACACAACTTTAATCCTGTTTGCAGTCAACAGCTTCACAACCACAGCACTTGATCCTTTTTCAGATCTGCAAGACTGGGACTGTCTCTTGTGATAAACAAAGGTCCTAGGTTTTCATTATATCCCCTCTTTTAGCAGCCTCAGGATAGTCTCACTGAAGCACGATTAAGGGCGAATTTAATGAAGGCATGTTTTTGACTTGGCTTCTTGCCCAGGGTCTGTGATTAAGAGAGCGGGATTATATTTATGTTGCCTCTGATTCACATTCTGGGAATACCACAAGATATTCTCCTCAGTAAATTTTTATTATTTTTTTAAGTTTATAACAGGTCAACAGATGAAGTCAACAACAGACTCAAGTCTCCCGATTCCTAGTTCTGTGCTCTAACCAGTACACCATACTACCTTGCTAATATAGAGGCTGGAATTGGTAAAAGCCAGTGTCTAGTGATGCACATTATGATTTAAACATTGATATTTTAATGACATTACCTCCATTACAGTTAAAAAATACAGTATTAACGCAAAATCCTAAAGCTGTTTCTCAGAATCCTGTATACAGTAAGTAAATAATGCAATGAAGTTAACAGGAAGTGAATGAAAAATTCAGGAATCATACTATTTGACTCTTTGCCCTTTGTAATATATAGATTTTTAAAAAAACTTGTTGCAAAAGGCTTTGTTAAGGTTGCATGCATAATTCAGGCATCATATATGCATATCCCTTATACAATATCTGAACCACTTTCTGATGTTGCTACTTTTCATGGTAGTAACTAACACCCCATTCAACAGGCATGATCTTACAAGGTACTGAACACCCTCAATTCCCATCAATGTTGATGGACTTGAGGGTCCTTAATACATTAATAAATTATCAGTGGCATCTTGCAGAGTGGGTCTGGGTTCCCCTAACTCCAGCCACCGACTCTAGATGTTGTGCAAAGCAACCAGACTCTCGCCGTTGGGTAACATAAGAGTATAGCCACTAGGCGGAACTGCCAGCCTTGTACACAACACCCCCCTGCCCTGACACTCCAGCATCAGGTAAATGGTTTGATAAGTGTGACTAGGTCAGGCAGGGTAGACAGTGCCTACGTGTGATGGAGTACACAAATCCTGCACTGGACAAGAAGAGCATTTATCAACGCAAGCAGCCCTTCCCCACTGTATCTGCAAGGCACCTCAGGCCTGGAGGAAGGGCCTTAATAAAAGAAAATTTTAAAAAAAAGGTCGGGGGGTGGGAAGCCCAGCTCAGTTGGGTGCAGTGCTGCGAGGAGAACAGACCTCCTATCCTCAGCTTTTGGCGAGTGTAGCAGCTAAGGACAAAGCCTGCTTGCATGGCCATGGTGGTCAATCTGAGCCTCCTGAACAGAAGGTGGGTCAGATCCTGAATGGCTGGTTTAGAACTCCTGTCAGTGACTTGCCTGAGGGTGCTGAACTGTGTTACAGACTGCTGGAAGCCCCTTGCAGGAAGATGGCCTGCTGTCAGCTTCCAGTAGTTTGTTTGCTTTCCTTTGTCATGTTGGGTACCTACAAGAGCCCCAGAAGGAGTAGACTCCCCTGGGACTCGGTCAGAGGTTCCCACATCTAGACTTGTGCTGATGACTGCTTAGGTGCTGAGGACTGAAGCACAGGGCTCTGCCCCACCCCAAAAGGTTGCTGTGGGAGATCAAGCCCATGACACTACCCTTTTCAAACTAGATATAATAAGATCTCCACCTGCTACTGTAAATTGGCTCTGATTGTCAATTTAGTCTATTTTCAGATATCACCAAACTCCACTAACACACACACTCAACCATCAGCACTAAAGAACAGATACACAGCCTGCTACAGTATAGACTGGCACTATCCCAATAGAACTACTTTTGTAGTATTTTTTTTCCCTCCGGCACAATATAGCATGGTGAGAACACAAGACAATGAATTAATAACTGCTGCAGAAAAGTATGTGGTATATTAAATTTTGAAGAATAAAAGTTTAAAAAGACAACTGATGGCAAACTACAAGAAGGCAGATGGAAGTTAATGGATCTGACAGTAAACAAGTGCTAATAAGTCAATGATTTGTACTGGGGTTTTCTTATGTTTATCAAAACATTTTTAATACAGAATACGAGGCCATTTCTGCAAACATTTGCTATTGTATAATGCTTAATACCATGAGCAGTTCTAAAGTAATTAATGCTGTGCACAACAGTAACTGTCTGCAGGACTGAGCCCTAAATTTGTTTGCTCAATAGTTATTGAAGCTGCTTGAAATTGGAAATTCAATATTTTGGAAAAATCAACAAGTTATTAATTAACTAAACAGAGTAATCCTATAGCCTTTCCAGCTTGCTCTTCTATTTTTGTTGTGTACTGCAGTCTGGGGGTTTGTCTCTTATACAAAGCAGTATTCAGAGGCATCTCTTTTCTAGTACTACGGTGCAACATATACCCATTTTTGTCTTGTACATTTTCTAGTTTATATTTTGTTTCCCCCCCCCCACCCCCAAACAAAAAGTCAGATGAGTGCAGTACAAAATACACAATACATGGATACAGCAAGGAGTTGGACTGGGATGTGTGCCAATTTCCAAATTGTGTCAACAGCATCCAGCCCTTGGGGTCAAATTCATCTCTCCTACCACCAGACAAACTAATGGAGTTACAACAATAATAAATGTTTCCCTTTAAAAAGAGATCTGTGTGAACAAAGGTTCTACTTAGGTAAGGATTCTATAAGCCCAGTTTCACAATTCAGCACTTCAGGTGTAGATAAATCAAAATACAAAAGAGGGAACATCATCAGATTTGTGTGGGACAGAGATAAATCTGAGTTACTAGAGAGTTCTCCAAAATGTTTAACCTTCTTTTCAAAACTAATTTGTGTATGCAAATACTCTGACTTTTAGTTGAAGTCAAGCATCTGCACCTGGCCAACTATGCATTTAATGGGCCATCTGCTAGCTCAACTATCTAGCTCAGCAGTTCTCAAACTGTGGGTCACAACCCCATTTTAATGGGGTTACCAAGGCTGACATTAGACTTGCTAGGGCCTGTGGCCGAAGCCCAAGCCCCACTGCCCAGGGCCAGGGTCAAAGCCGGAGGGCTTCAGCCCTGGGTGGCAGGGCTCAAATGACAGGCCCCCAGCCTGGGGCTGAAGCCCATGGGCTTCGGCCCCCCACCTGGGGCAGTGGGGCTCAGGCTTTGGGCCCCCCCGCCCAGGGGACGTCAGGCTTGTGCAGGCTCAGGTGTCAGTCCCTCCTCCTGGGGTCATGTAGTAATTTTTGTTGTCAGAAGGGGGCTGCAGGGCAATGACATTTGAGAACCCCTGGTCTAGCTTATACATACCATGAGTGTATTTGCACATACCCAGTCCACAGTACATGTATTAGCGCTGGCATGGGCGGTGGGTCGCATAGACTTTGCCTCCCTAAACACCCAGGCGTGACCCCACCCCCTGCCGTGATGCTCCCGGCATGCGGTTCCAGTCCTCTGGCTCCAACCCCCCAGTGCTCCGCTCCACCCGCCTTCCTGCACTCCGGAGCTGAGGAGGCTGCAGCCAGCAGCTGCCCACCCCCACCCTCCTGGCTGGGGAGGCTGGGGCCGCGCCCCTGCCCTCCTGGCATTCCTTTGGGGCTGGGGGAGTAGCCGTGGGACTGGGCTGGTGGCCGCGGTGGTGTTGGGAGGTGGGTGCAGCGGCACCTCTGGTGGGGGGTGGGATGGAAGGGGCGGGGCCTCGGACAGAACAGTCGGGGATGGGGACTAACCTCCCCAAGCCGGCGGTTCACGCACCCGCCCATGAGCACTGGTGCTTTTTTGCACAGCACCAGTGCCCTGAGACCCCACTCATTCAAATACATGAAAGAAGTGGTTCTTTAAGAAAGAGGTAAGCTCTATAAACTGATTAAAAGGGGGGAAAAAATAAGATTCTAAATTAACACCTGCCTCCAAATCGCCCACTACTTCCTGTATCCCTCTGTTATGATCTATTCAGGCAGGAATGGTCATTACCTGTCTTAAACTCTGACAATATTCGCAGCACTGTACAAGAAGTGACAACTATTGTCCTTTTGGCCAGCACTTTAGGCTTGTGGGTTGAAACATGGTGCATTGCTGCTGTCCACATCCCATTCTCTAGTCTAACCCTACAACATAAATTGTGAGACTGGATTTTGAAGCCATCCAAGTTGCACTGTGGATCAGAGCATTCACTATTGAAGGAACATGCTGGGGTGGCTGGTACAGGAGAGAATTTGGTAAAGTAGCATAGTTATCTAAAACAGTGGTTCCAACCTGGCATCAACGGACTATGTCTAAGGGGTCCATAAAAGGTTGTCATTATCACAGAACAGTGGTTCTCAACCAGGGGTCTGCAGACTATGTCTAAGATTCCAAAGGGGTCCACGCCACCATTCAAAATTTTTTAGGGGTCCACAAACGAAAAAAGGTTAAAAACCACTGGTCTAAAATGATAGGGAATCACTGTAGTGGGTAACCTCTTTAAAGGGATGGCTAGAGAAGTTGCCAATTTTCTTACCTCCCGCAGTTCGAGTCTCTGAGCCACAGCTTCCAGACTTTCCTGGCCGGTGCTCTCCACAGAAAGAGTGAACTCCACAAATTCATTGTTGAGCAGCTGGATGCGGGCCACCAAGCAGCTCTTGCTGGACACTGTGTAACGTCGAGTTCGTTTCAATTTGAGCCCAAAAGGTAACGGCATCTTTCCCCACAGACAGTGATGAAAAGCTATCACCACGCTGGAAAATGAAGGGAAGTAGCAGTCTTCTCCCAAGCAATAAGGAGCCCTGAAGTATCCTGCCAATCAACCAGCAGCGGCAGCAGCAGCCATTCAAGAAGAGCAGGTCCTCCACCAAGCTCTAACTGGAGGGAGTTTCCACAGCAGCTCTAACAAGGAGAAGGGAGAGAGTCCAGAAGTGATTTACCTGAAAGGGGAATTGGAAACATAGGAAATCCACAAACAAACTTACATTTTCTAAATCTACATGTAACAGAGGGGTAGCCGTGTTAGTCTGAATCTGTACAAAGCAACAGAGGGTCCTGTGGCACCTTTAAGACTAACAGAAGTATTGGAGCATAAGCTTTCGTGGGTGAATGCCCACTTCATCAGACGCAAGACTTGCGTCTTGGGCATTCACCCACGAAAGCTTATGCTCCAATACTTCTGTTAGTCTTAAAGGTGCCACAGGACCCTCTGTTGCTAAATCTACATGGTTAACGATTTTCTCCTCCGAGAGAAAGAGAGAGAGAGAGAGAGGTGTATGGTCTACAACAGTGAAACAGGAACAAAGATTCCTGGTTTGCAACGGACTCTTGGAATGACCTTTGGTAAGTCACAACTTCTTGATGGCTCTGTCTTAGTCATCTGCCAAATAGTGTAATGAAATTTGACCAAAAGCATTTGTCCACATCCCATTTGACATGCTTTAAAGATAAAACAAAGGCTCTAAAATGGCTAGGTATTTCATAAACTGGATCAATACTTGGATGAGACACCTTTAGGAAAAACGTAGGTGCTTCAAGTAATTGGGAAGGAGAGTCACTAGGTGGCACTGTTTTCTCCAACTCAGGACTAAAACCAGTATTGTCCTAGGAGCACCATGCTATTGGAGGCTCTGTCTTGGACAAAATGCAGAACCAAAACATAGGGGCATTAGAGATGCCACAGTTTGGGGTGTCGTGTGGTGGTGGGTTTTTTGGTTTGGAGCTGGGGTGAGGGAATCCTAGCCAGATTCCCATTCAGTTCATTATATTCCAACTCTTGTTTCCCCCTGCAGTTTGTTAGCTACAATATTCTTTATTTCCTGTGCTAAACAGCTGTACTGTGCTTCAGGTTGCTAGTACTTGCCATAGTGTCCTCCCCTCCACCTCACCAGAGGGGACGACCTTTCAGTGGTGGTTGAAGCAATTCTTTTCTAAATCTTCTCAAAGAGAGTTTTCTTCCAGGAAACCTATAAACCCTAACAATTTCCTTGACACCATCCATTGCTCCATGTCTCCCACAAACAATTTTCATGCTACCTCCAAAGCGCAGAAAGCCATCCATAAATAAGTCTGGAAACCTCTCTCAAGTACTTTCTCACAAACCACTCCTTATAATAAACTGCACATCATTATTACAACTATTGACTGTTTAGAAAATGTGCCTGCATAATGGAAGTGAAGGTATCAACATTTTCTAAAAGACTATTATTCTCTGTGCAGCGATTACTATGTTTCATAGACATAAATAGTTTGGATCAGGGGTCGGCAACGTTCGGCACGCGGCTCGCCAGGGTAAGCACATCGCTCGCCCGCGCCGCTTCTCGCCGCCCCCATTGGCCCGGGACGGCGAACCGCGGCCAGTGGGGGCCGCGATCAGCCGAACCTGCCGCGTCAGCAGGTAAATAAAACCGGCCCGGCCCGCCAGGGTGCTTACCCTGGCGAGCAGCGTGCCGAACGTTGCCGACCCCTGGTTTGGATAATTAGTAAGGTTTATAAAGTGTTTTGAGATCCATTCTGATGGAAATTGCTACACAAAGGCAGGCTTCACATAGTAAATTGCTGACATCTAATCACATTCCTGGGGAGGAGAAAACCAAACATTAATCTTGAAACTACCAGCCCAAGGTAAACAACAGACAGCACACAACACGGACACGCTGATTACCTGAGCCTGTGGCTTTAAGGGGTTTGTTTGGTTTCATTCCCCCTCTGCTATGACTAGCCCCACTAGGTTGGTGACTAGCAGCTGCTTGGTATCAGGCTCTGAGGACCCTCTGGATGAGCTCACATCTGAAAGGTCTCTGGCTGCTGACACAGAGCAGCCCCGTCCAGAGGGAGGGAGCAAGCAAGCCCATTTCCAGGGAGGGCTGAAGGGGCTCGGAACCCGGGCTGCCAAAGGGAGGCTCCCCGGCCCAACTCTGAGCACCGGGCAGCCGAGGGCCGAGGCATCAGGCCCGTCGCCCACGGGAGCTTCTTGACATGTCAGGGACTGGTTAATCCGGAGAGGCCGCCCAGAGCCCTCCTCACCTACAAGGAGAAGGTGAGGGAGGGGAGCATTTAAAGGGACGGTGCCTGCTTTAGTTAGGCCTCCAGCTGAGCTCCCCTTTAACCTTGTGCATTGTTATCGGGACACGTAGGGCTGATTCCTCCAGTGCAATTTATTTTTCCTATTATGTTTGGTTTTGCTGGGAGTGACATTCCTGGCCTCTAGGTCATGGCGATGATGTCATCAGGTGCTTGATGCCACACTTCTAGCTTATTTATTTTTTTGGTCCCCTCTAGTTTCCTAGTAGCTTTGTTTCAACACTTAAAACTTCAGGAGGAGGGTCAGCTTTTATATAAACAAACCTGCAAATGTCCTTTTTAATGAAGGGTTAGGGGGGTTGTTTTTTTAAATGCAAATTCATATCCACCTTAACTTAAAAGGTTTTATTAAAAAAAAAGTTAAGAGAGGAAATATTATTGGAGCTATTAAATAGGGAATTTTTAAAAGTAATGTTACTCCAGCAGTGTTTAAAACCTAGAAAAGCAGGACAGAATGAGAGTGAATTACAGATAAAGAAAACAAATGAAATATGTGTCTATGAACAGGAGAATATTAACTCTGTACCTATGCAAATAGGGATTCTATAGTGATCAAAACATATGCCTAGCTTCAGTGTTACCAGAACCTAGCCTTGAAGGCACTAATTACTATACTATGGAATTTAATAATTAACCCAATCATCAATGAAACCCCAGACTGCTGCAGGCAACATGTTCTGCAACATTAACAATAATAGAAGTTATTAAATGTCTGCTCTAGCACAGTAGTTAAGGACCTGTCAGTATTTACCATCAAGTCTTATTTTTCAGTGATGGTGTAGCCTGGCAGCAAATATTTACTGTGGGCAAAACCATAACATACAAGTTTTTCAAATCATGTACACTGTTTTGCCTGCAAACTATTACACTTGATTTCTCTCGTCTATGGTTAGGAAAGAATCAAACATCAACTCCTTGTTTCCAAAGTCTTCCAAATAACATTTCTTCAGACTAGCATGTGTTAGTATTATATTTTTTAAATGTATTGACTTTGATTTCTGAGAAGACTCCCCTTACAATTTGTTAAATCAAATACCTTATTTATATTTCCAGAATAAGGATCAATTTTGATGGGGGAGGCAGACTCCTAATGCACCTCTCTTTTAGTCCCTTAAAATGTATAAATAAAATACTCAAATTAGATACAGATTATCTTTATTATGGATCATTCTGGCTCAATCAAGGAAAATTCATAAACTCACACAGAGCTCCATGTTCCCTTTTGTTAGGCACCCATGGAGGGGAATAAAGGTAGGCAAGAAGGGACAGATGACCCCCTGACACAGAGAGAGTGAGGGGAAGGAGCACCTCAGTGACCTACTTAACTTCCCACATCAGGAAACCTTCCATGTCCTTTTTGCATGGTCATGCGTCTAATGATTTGGAATAGGTTGTGCCACTCTATGCAACATACTTGACCCAGCTACTGGCAAATTTCTATAGAAGTCTGTGCAGTAATTAAGGTAGGCTGGATCAGAGACTGTCTCTCTGTATGCATATTCAATACCTAACAAAATTCTAGGTACTATTAGAATACAAATCATAATGGATGGAATTAGATTTCCCTGCAGAGCCTAGGGTGACGTGAGGTTTCCAGGCTTTCCTGTTTGCTCTGCACATTGATCCACGTAGTCCTACTACATAACAATAGCATGCAGGGAAGGTTCCACAGACTGAACCTTGCAGAGTTTCCTGCATACTGAGGGCAGAATCCCCCAGTGCATTTATTCCTGGCAGTGAAACTTGTGGATCACTCACCGAGCTCGCTTTCCTCTGCCTTGGTATTGAACAGGTTGTATATCAGATTATGCTCTTTTCTCTGATCCCTGTAGTACCAAAGACAAAAACCAAATTATGGAGCTTTTTGTCATAACTTTAAATCTGTTTTAAAAGTTTTAAAGGGGTACAATTAAACATGAAAGGCTTTCAATCTTTTTAGCTCTAAGGAGTCTTTATAAAAAAAAAAAAAAAAAGCACCCAAATAACACCTATACATCTCACTAGCTCCAGAGCGACTGACAAATGAAATTTAATGAGAGTGTCAGATTGCCTGGATTCTCATTGCTTTAGTTATTTTTTGACAAAACTAGATGTATGCATAGGAGGGAATTTTAAATAAGACTTGGTGGTCCATTAAATGGGAAGGAATTTTCAAAACATGCCAGGTCCATTCTTAAGGCCATATTGTATTCTCTGCATGTTTCCCTAGTGATGACAAACTAATTTTTACTTTATCTAAACTATATTTTTTGGTAAATTTTCCTTACTTATGAGGCATGCTTACTTCACTTTTTAAAATGATTCTTAGGCACGCTATAGTGAAATAAAATAGTTACACATTTAATTAGTAATCCATATCCTTCACTAAATCAAACACATAGCCCCTGACATATTGTAAAATACAATTGTATTGAACAACTAAGAACATTTGAGGAATAATGTTCAGGAGTAATTCAATAACTTATTGCTGGCCAAGCACAATTCTTGCAAATAGTGCAGTATTGTTTTCATTTACCAGCTGTCATTTTGCGCTACCATCTGCTGTCATATTTGTCTCAGGCATTATTTCAAACATGTATATCTATACTAAAAGAACAGGAGTACTTGTGGCACCTTAGAGACTAACAAATTTATTTGAGCATAAGCTTTCGTGG